CAGATTAAAGCTTGATTTCAACAGCAACTGAAACAACAAAAAGCCTATAAACTCATGGAAACTGTAAACATTCTCCTGAGTTTCTCTCTACTGTGTCAAGGCAGAAACAAAGAAATCAAAGACTTCCTACAATTCAATGACAATGAATGCACAAGAAACCCAAACTTAATGGGACACAGTGAAGTAATCCTAAAAGGAAAGTTCATAGCACTAAGTGCCTTTGTAAAGAAACTGGAGAGATTGCATACTAGCAACTTAACAGCACACCTGAAAGCTCTACAACAAAAAGAAGAAAACACACCCAAGTGGAGTACATAGCAGGAAATAATTAAATTGAGGCTTGAAATAGATAAAACAGAAACACAGAGAACATTACAAAGAGTTAATGAAACAAAGGGTTGGTTCTTTGAGAAAATCAAGATAGGAAAACCCTTATCCAAACTAAAAGACAGAGAATATCCAAATTAACAAAATTAAAAACAAGAAGGGAAACTTAACAATAGAATCATTAGACCATACATCACAAAATTGGAGGAAAAAAACAGAACAATTTTTTGATAGATACCACTTAGCAAAGTTAAATCAAGATTGAATAAATAAATCATTTAAACAGGCCTACAAACAATCTCCCTCATAAACACTAATGCGAAATACTCAATTAAATACTTGCAAATCTAACCCAAGAATACATCAAAAAGATCATCCACCATGACCAAGTAGGTTTCATTCCAGAGATGCAGGGATGGTTTAATATGCAAAAATCTTTCAATGTTATCCACCATATAAACAAATTGAAAGGGAAAAACCCTACATCATCATCTCATTTGTTTTGAAAAAACCCTTGACAAAAATCTAAAACCCCTTAATGATTAAAGTCTTGAGGAGATCAGGGATACAAGGAACATATTTAAACATAATAAAGACAATTTTCAGCAAGTCAACAGCCAACATCAAATTAAATGGAGAGAAACTCAGAGCAATTCCACTAAAATCAGAAACAAAATAAGGCTGTTTACTCTCTCCATATCTGTTCGTTCAACATAGTACTTGAAGTTTTAGCTAGAGCAATTATACAATTGAAGGAGATCAAGGGGATACAAATTGGAAAGAAATAAATCAAAGTATCACCATTAAAAAATATTAGATTCATTTATTTATTATGTACACAGTGTTCTGTCTGCATGAATACCTGCATTCCATAAGAGAGCACCAGATCTCATTATAGATGGTTGTGAGCCACCATATAGTTGCTGGGAACTGAACTCAGGAACAGTCAGTGCTCTTAACCTCTCAGCCATTTCTACAGCCCTAAAGTATCACTATTTGCAGATGATATGATAGCATACATAACTATCAGGGAACTACTACTATTGATAAGCACCACCAGCAAAGTGGTTGGATACAAGAATAATGCAACAAAACAAAACAAAACACCCAGTAGCCCTCCTATATACAAGCAACAAACAGCTGAGAAAGAAATCATGGAACATCACCCTTCACAACAGCCACAAGCAATATAAAATATCTTGGGGGTAACTCTAACCAAGCAAGTGAATGACCTGTATGATAAAAACTTCAAGTCTTTGAAAGAGGAAATTGAAGAAGGTATCAGAAGACAGAAAGATTTCTCATGGTCAAGAGGCAGTGGTGGTGCACACCTTTGATCCCAACACTCTGGAGGCAGAGGCAGGAGGATCTCTGTGATTTTTAGGCCTGCCTTGTCTACAGAGTGAGTTCCAGGACAGGCTCTAAAGCTACACAGAGAAATCCTGTCTCAAAAAACAAAAACAAACAAAAACAAAACAAAAACTCTATTTCATATGGAAAAGCCAAAAACCCAGGATATCTAAAACAATACTATACAGTTAATAGATAGGACCCCATGAAGCTGAAAATCTTCTGTTAGATAAAGGACACTGTCAATAGGACAAAACAGCAGCCTACAGAATGGGAGATTTTCACCAACTCCACATCTGTCAGAAGGCTAATATCCAAAAATATGGGAAACTAGACATCAACAAACCAAATAATCTAATAAAAATGGGATAGAGATCTAAATAGAGAATTTTCAACAAAGGAATCTCAAATAAAGAAATGTTCAACATCATTAGCCATTAGGGAAATGCAATCAAAATGACTTTGAGAATCCATCTTACACCCATCAGAATGGCTAAGATAAACATAAGTGACAGCTCATGCTGGTGAGGATGTGGAGCAAGGGAACACTCCTCCATTGCTACTTTGGAAAGCAATGTGGCAGTTTGTCAGAAAACTAGGTATCTGTCTACCTCAAGACCCAACTATATCACTCCTGGGCATATACTCAAAGGAAGATCCACCCTACAACAAGGAAACTTGTTCAACTATGTTCATAGTAGCTTTATTCACAATAGCCAGAAACTTGCCAGGCAGTGGTGCCACATGCCTTTAATCCCAGCACTCGGGAGTCAGAGGCAGGCAGATCTCTGTGAGTTCAAGACCAGCCTGGTCTACAAGAGCTAGTTCCAAAGTCACAAAGAAACGCTATCTCAAAAAACCAAAAAACAAACAAAATAATAGCCAGAAACTGGAAACAATCTAGATGTCCCTCAACTGAAGAATGGATAAAGTGGTACATTTGCAGTGGAGTATTACTCAATTGTTAAAAAAAAAAATATCATGAAACTTGCAGGCGAATGGATGAAACTAGAAAATGTCATCCTGAGTGAGGTAACCCAGGCCCAGAAAGACAAACATGGTATGTACTCACTTATTAGTGGATATTAGATGTAAAGTAAAGGATAACTGTGCTATAATCCATAGACCTAGAGAGGCTAGGTAACAAAGAGGGCTCAAGGTGGGGTGGGATGCATGGATCTCTCTGGGAAGAGGGAATAGATTTTGAGGGTGGACTGGGGTCTGACAGGGATGGAAAACAGTGTGGGAGATGGAGGAAGAGAGGCCTGGGAGAGATGACTGCAATTGGGGGACATCTGGGGGCTGAGGTAGAAGCCTAGTGCAATAGAAACACCCAGGAATCTATGAGGATGAACCTTGTGAAAACTCCTAGTACTGGGGGATACAGAGCCTGAACTGGCCATGTTCTGTAACCAGGCAAGGCTTCCAGTGGAGGGACTGGGACACCAACCCAGACACATAACCTTTGACCTACAGTTTGTCCTGTCTGCAAGATATACTGGGGTAAAGGAGGCACAGAACTATTGGGAGTGGCTGACATGACTGGTCCATCCTGAGACCCATACCCACAAGAGGAAGCCCATCCCTGACAATGCCTGGGTGGCCAGAACCCAGAGGCTGGACAGCACAGAGACCTAGAATAGAACCAAACAACTGGCCAAAAAAAAAAAAAAAAAAAAAAAAAAAAAAGTCAATGAAAAGATTCCTAATGATAATCTGCTATATTTGCAGATTGGTAACTAGTCCAATTGTCATCAAGGAGTTTCATCCAGCAACTGATGGGAGCAGATGCAGACCCACAGCCAAACGTTAGGTGGAGCTCAGGGAATCCCAAATAAGAGGGGGAGGATGGATTATGGGAGCCAGAGGGGTCAAGGACACCATGAGAAAATGGCACGCAGAATCAATCAACAAGGGCTCACAGAAACTGAAGTGACAACTAGGGAGCCTGCCTGGGTTTGACCTACGTCTTCTGCATGTTACGGTTGAGTAGTCTGATGTTCTGTCCGGCTCCTAACAGTGGGACCAGGGGCAGTCTCTGACTCCTTTGCTTGTTTTTGGGATCCCTTCCTCGTACTGGATACCTTGTCCAGCCTTAGTATGAGGGGACATGCTCATTCTCATTGCAACTTGACATATCATATTTGATTGATACCCCTGGGAAACCTGCTCTTTCCTGAAGAGAAATGGAGAGTGGGTCTGGAGAGGAGTTGGAGGAGAGGAGGGAAACTTCAGCCGGGATGTAACATGAGAGAGAAGAATTTAAACAAACAAATATAATCACTGATTTCAGAGAAATGACCAGAAAATTAAATTTTGTGAAATTCTTTTTGAGCCCATGTCTTTTTCAATAACACCTCATCACCTGTGGCACACTTTGCATGCTATTTTTTTTTTTAAGCTATCCACCACTTGCCAGCCAATAGCTGTATTTAGACTTGTTTTCATTTGAAAATTTTGTGGCATTTGGCCCTTCATATAAAACAATGAAAAACAAAATGATATTAGCATAAGTCTAACTTAATTCAGTGAAAACAGACAGAAGGCAACATGATACTCAAAGCTTCACTCTTGTTGGGTTTTGAGTGTATGAATGTTGACTAATATAGTTATAAAAGAAAACACAAAGAAATGAGGATGTTAACCCGGTCTTGCTGTGCCGGAACTTGCCCTATATACCAGACTGGCCTTGAACTCAGAGACCCACCTGTCTCTGCCCCCTGAATGCTAGCCCACAAGCAGACAATATAAACACAAAATTGTGGAGAAACAAAGATGTTGAATGATCTTTTCTATTAATTCCAACAATGTTTACACTTGGAAACAATTTCTAAATAGCTGTGTGACCAGAAAATCGTGAACTATAGGAAAGAACTACATCATACTCCCTGCCTTCCTACTCACATCTGCTTAGCAATGACCTTATTCTTTGTGTTACTCTGGGACGGAGCCATTGTGATACATGTTCATGGTGTAGTCTAGGTGTAAAAATACCCGAGGGCTGGCAAGTGGTTCAGTGGGCAAAGGTGCTTGACGCCAAGCTTTTCTTTCACCTGAATTTGATACCCAGAAGCTACACGGTTGAAGGAGAGAACTGAGTCTTGCAGATTTTCTCTGAACCCCAACACCATCCCCACATTAATACAATTTAAAAGTAAAAATAAATCATAAAACATTCCAAGATCTGCTTATTACTTGACTATTAATGACTTTTTTTTTGTATTAGTACAACAAATACAGGATGTTTTTTAGTAAAAGCCAACATAAAGACTCCATGCTGGATTGTATAAGTCTGAAACAAAAATCACAGGGAGACAGGACAATTTAAGAAGCTATTTGTGTTTATTATCTGAGTTACAATTGATAAAGCAAACAAAGGTGCATAAAAAGTGTTTTTTTTTTTTTTTTTTTTGACAAAGTCAAGTTCCAGATATGATGCAACGGTATTTTCCTGGGGCCCCCAGGGCCCCATGCCATGCCTGGGGCCACACTCAGAATTATCGAGAGGCACTGTGCATGCCTGAGGTGTATTCCGAGCATAGGTCTCTACATAACTGACGGCAGAAGTGGCCCCAGACGCAAACAGCCCTAGTTTCAGATGTGAGAACCACCTGCTACTAATGATACACTAGGAGCTTAGAATACTGTGTAAAATGTGCCTCCAATAGAGGCTAGAGCCTTCTCTAATGGCCTCCCCTGACAGAATCTGATCATTTATATCAGACCAAGGGCAAGCACAAAACTAAAAAACAAAACCTATTTAATTAACAATGGTCATTAACTTCTAAAGATTTAAACCTAAAGCTATTTACATAAAATTTGGGATCTTCAAAATTCAGGGCAATTTAATTCTGAGCTCAAGAGGTTCTCCTACTAGGTAACAGGGCACTCAGAAGTACCTGAGAAATAGTCACAGGAAACCCTGACGGAGGAGACACATTGGGTTTTCCCATGGGAGCATGAAAGTACATACCAGCTGATACTGTAAACAAAACGAAAATGTGCACAGTATCACAGCATACTAATTCCATTGAGAAAGAACTTGCTGGAAAGCTCCAGTCCTTACTACATTTTACAGATAGCCTGATGTAACAGATTATCAGTACCAAAAATAATTTTAGGTGAAAACTTCACAATCAGCAAAACCCAGCTTTAAGACAGGATTCATTTGCAGAGACAAGCATGCACCAGGCTACAATTACTGGGTTCCCACACATGAAAACCAATTTAATTTTCAAAAACCCGTCTCGTTTCTTTACCCAGATGTGCTCATTTGGTGCTAAAGACACCACCTGCCTCTAGTGACCACTTAGACACGGACTACACAAAAGTACAGAAGTACTCTCCACACAGAACTCCACAAAAGCCAGCTTAATTTATAGTGGTTTATGAGAATTTATAAACCTGGGTACTTAACACTTTAATAGCGCCCCCAGCTTGCGCTTCCCTACTTCCTGCTGCTCCTTCTTTGGAAGCTGTAAATGTCCAAACAACAGAAGAGTCCTTTCTTCGGGAACCAAGATAGAGTTTGAAGCTTTTGCTGAGGGAGGAGCCCAGTTATCTGTAGACTAGAGAAACAAGTGCTACTTAAAAAAAGTGAATTAGGATATTTAGGAACTCGAAACACCAGGAATCCTTGTTTTAATGCCTGCTTTGTACAAGGTCACTTTGCTAACCCAGAGCCCTTCATAAATGTGTGCGTGCAGATCTGTTGACAGCAGCTAGACTACCAAAGGGTGGCAATGGGAGGGGACCTCTTCTTTCCACCTGTTGTTTCTGAGAAATTCATTTAGAAAAGTCTTATTAAAGATTCTAGAAACATAGAAAATCCATAGTTTTTACCATCACAAGGATCTTTTTTAACCCTTTGAGCGCATCTCTTCTTGGGGAGGAGGCTCAAGATAGAGAAGGAAGCAAGTCCCACTCCCTGCAGAAATGAAGAATTCCTCTCAACAAATACTTACATGTTAAGCACCAAGAGGACTAAGTAAGAGACTTCCTGATTTCACAAACAAAACAAGGAGCTCCCTCTCATCTCCCGCTCGTGACTTTCTTGAATAACTCTCAGAGACAGAGCCACAGCCTGCCACCTAAGAAAGCAGAGCTCTTCTCCCCAGCTCAAGGCCTGCATCACACTGCCGGATGCCGGGACCCTTTTCAGGCCTCACTTGTCTTCAGCTCTCTCATGCACAAGGTCCTTCTCCACTTCTGCAGATACCAAGAGCTAGGCAGCTATTTTAATTTACACAATGAAAACACTGAAATCCAACAAAAACACACTCTCAAAGCAAGCACCTGGGTTTTACTGCAGTTTATAATTTAATGTGCCTGAGAATTTTTGTGCAAATACATGTCATCTTTCATTAAAAATATGCATAGCACACTTTGGAAAAAGTGAATTACAACTAACTTTTCTTTAAAAATTTATATATATAAATATACAACATAATCTAAGTCCTACTGATTGCACTTCTGGTTTAAACCCTTCTGGCCTCCAAGGAAACTTGAGAAACATGCAATTATGTTTGCATTCCTTGGCCACTGTATTATCCAGAAGAAATATCCTGAAAAACTTCCTTGATTCCAAATTCCCCTGTTTTCCTTCTTTAAATCCCTCCCAAGCCCATTCACATCACCGTTTTTAATTTTTTTTGTTATGTAGTACAAAAATACAAGTTTCAAAAACTGAAGTTTTAGTAATCATAAATACAAAGAAATCTGGGTGCTGTTTGGGTTCTCAGTGCCTGAAAGTTCTGAAATGAGAAAGTCTCCGTTTTTGAAGTAAGGGACAAGACAAAACTCCTTATTTTGCTAATGCTGTGACGTACCATTGGATGGATGCTGGATGCATAATTTGACCAGGCAACAACAGCGAAAGCATCTACAGTCTCAGTAACAGACACCACACTGCACCAACCCTCTGGAGCAGCCTCCTGCAGGGACAGCACACCTTTCCTGGCTTTCCTCCTAGGCAGCCTCTTCCTGCTTCTGTTCTCTAGGGACCAAGGGGCCAGCACTTAAGTATTACTGTTACATTTCAATAGGAGTGGGTTTATTTTTCTATTCCCCTTTTATTTTCAAGGCAAGGACACTCAGCTGAAGGAGCACACTGATCCTTTCTTCTGTTTCTGTCTCCAACCTACTCATGTCTCTTGTTCCCACTTTCCATTTACTATACTCCATTATCAAAGACCTCATCCAAATGTTTCCATTCCTCCACTACACTCTCCACATCCACAACCCTTCTGCAACATCCTTTCTCTCTCCTTAGACAGGTCCCCATTCTCAGTGCATCTCTCTCTCCTTCATGTGCTAACTTATACATGAGGCCAGTGTTGAGCCTCAGTCTTCCTTCAGGATACCCATTTTGGGTGAGGTTGTGCAAACTGGGGCTCCAAAGCTGCCCATCATGACCGGAAGACTCTGATTCCTCCTCAGTCCACCCAGTAAACTGCCACTTGAATTTAAATAAATGGCAGAGTCTGGCTTTTGGAGAGCCACTTCTGCCTCTCGGCTCTTCCCGCTCTCCTGGGGATCAGGGGTCTTGACCACTCTGGCTATCCCCAGTCTCTTTAGTCTGTCTACCAAGTTCATCTTCAGCTGGCCAACATCAGGAGGGGCCCTTGAAGGTCTCAAGCCATACATTTCTTGCAGGAATGTTTCAGCTGGTCGGGAAGCCAAAAAATTCTCGGAGACATGGACTCGGGGCTCAAAGGGCAAGGGAGAGGAGCACGGAGACTGCGATGGGGAATTTGGTGGTGTGGAAGGGGTGGCCAGGGCCTTGGGACGAGGCTGCAGGAGGGGGTTTTCTGAAGCAGGGCTGTGGTACACCTTAGCAGAGATGCCTCGCTCTTGCAGAAGCTTGGCTAGACTCCGTGTGCTACTGAACGTTATGGTGGAGTCGCGCCGGTTTGTGATGGATTCACCAATGCTGAGTCTGTAGGATGTGGCAGGAGAGTTCACAGCTGTGTTGGAGGAGCTGCTCCCACTACTTCCACAGGACAGGGACGGGAAGCCGGAGCTGGCAGAAAAGAGGGAGAGTGCTTAGGGACCAGAGACAGCAAGCCGGCATTTAACGTTTCTTATTTGCTCTGCTCCATACAGGAAGTCCACCAAGGCAACAATGGCGTGCTCAGCCTTGTGTGCAAAGCAACCTTTCATTTACATGAGGGTGACCAACCAGCCATGTTCTGAAGGGCAGCCTTTCCAACTTTATTTCACTGAAAAACAGTAAGTGTCTAATTGTTCAGCTGCCATTTTCTCAAACAGGGTTAACTCTAAACTGCAGTAAAACATGGATATTCACGAACCACACTGCCAGTCTTGCTTTGGAACATGTATTTTTAAGAAACTAAAAATTATGAAAAGCTTTGACAGCTATTAGATCTTGTTCTTACTGTGTGTTTAGTTAAGAAACACACATACACACACAACAAAAAAAAAACAAACCCAAAAAAGCAAAAAACAACTAAATAAATCATATATTTATGGCCATGGTGGAATGGAGGGGCGCATTTTTAGTCAGTGTTCTTTCATGAACAAATGCTACCAGGAGTTAATGCATTTTCACTGGAACAAGATGACCACACATATGATAGTGTCCAAATGCTCTTGTGAAGGGAGTGGCACCTCACACCTGGCAGCCTGGTTCACTCTGGGTACAAACAACCAACCTCGGGGAGTCATTTGTTAGCTGTCTGCTCCTGGGTCAGTCACCTTAATTTTCTATGCCTTAATTTCTTCATTTTATCCAGCATAGTCTGCCTACTTCAAAGAGTTATGATCAAATGAGAAAACACAATGTCAAAATAGTCTCAGAACACTAACTAAATTCCTGAGCATCTAAAGGGAACTTGTTTGAGGCCCCTGACTTCCCAGGCCCTCTTACCTAGGGGTAACCTGGGTGATGTCAGAGGGGTGTAAGATCCTACAGGTGGTGAAGGTGAATGTTGAGTTCGTGCATGACAGACACTTTCCTGGGTTCGAAGTCGCAACTGAAATAGAGATTTTTAGAGAGCCAAACACAGAATAGAAAGACCAGGTTAGTAACATAAAAGGCTCACCATTATTTTGTTAGCAATACAGAATTTATCAACTGCCTTTTGTAGCAGAAAGTTCCTAAATATGGAAATTAAATATATATAAAGAATATACTAGTATTAACTGATTAGCAGAAAGCTCCTAAATATGGAAATTAAATATATATAAAGAATATACTAGTATTAACTGATTAGTAGATAACAGAATTTCCAGTACTTTAAAATTATAAATAAAAGAAGTAAAAATAGCTCAGAAATGAGAGAAAGACACTTTGAAAAACACATTAAAAATTTCAAGATCTAGTTATCTAGGTGCCTAGGTCAAGCTACTCCCCTGGTTCTTATTGTGTGCTGACTGTAGAAAACATCATGGTAATTCCAGGATGAGGCTTTTTTTTTTTTTTTTTTTTTTTGATGGGGTGTTGATATTTGTATTCTGGCACAAAAGCAGTTAGGGGTAAAACTTCTGGCCCCTTAGCACAAATCAAGGCCATGATATCAGATTATACTTGTATTCTTCATCCTTATATATATGGTATTTTTTTAAAAAGCCAGATTTACTGAAAGCCTCTCATGAAGGAGTAAAATATGAAGTCTTGAATCTTTTCACTATGCAGTACGTGGATATAGGAAGTGTCCACTAAGTTCCCTTGCTGTCTATGATGCAGCTGATACAAACGGTGGTTACCTACAGAAAGACACTGTATCAGGGAATACCGTTTACTAGAAAGCACAACTAACACACAAGCCATACTCACTCTGACTTGAGAATCTGGCAGGCATTTCTTGGGGGAAAAAAGCTGTCAATATTTTCTACCAATGACAAATGTAAGCTTCAAGTGAAAATCAGTTTTGAGAAACTTACTGAGCTTGAAAACACACTAACACAGCCTTTCACCTGAGGAGGTTAGTAGTAACGTCAATATCCACGTATCTGTGTAACTGTCTTAATGACCAGGGCAGGTCACCAAACCATGCACGAGCAAAATTCAAAGTGAAGGCCAAAAACACTTTAATAAAAACTAATATGAAATTCATTGCTAGGGTTTCAGATTCCACAATGATGTAACTATTCAAGAAACTACCACTTACCAAGCTTTTATCTGATTTCAAACAAACACCATAATTCTTGAAAAATTATTAAACACTTTTTTTTTTTATTTATTTTGTTTCTTTCATTTTTGTTTGTTTGTTTTTGAGACAGGGTTTCTCTGTGTAGCACTGGCTGTCCCGGAACTTATTCTGTAGACCAGGTTGGCTTCAAATTCAGAGATCCAATCTGCCTCTGCCTCCCTAGGGCTGGGATTAAAGGCGTGTGCCACTACTATCCAGCTCAGAACTTTCATTTTTAAATTAGCTAATGTTTTTATTCTAACTTAATTAGTGTCAACAGACATAAGCCATATAGATAAAGAGTATCAAAGGGTCCTGAGACCAGAAGGCTTGCAAACCATAATGGACTTGATCCCTTTCTCTTCCTAATTTACTTTTGCAGGCTGATAGGACAAAATGGAGAAAGTTAGAAATGTCAGCAATGCTACAGATTTGTATTATATTACTTCCCCTAGTGAGTGCATGCCAGTGAGACGGCGCAGGGGTTGCCGGATAACCACAGTGGGGCCATGCAATGCACTGCTTATGAGGCCATGGTCAGCAAGACCTTCTCACCTGTAACTGGTCCACCTGTTGAGCTAATGGGTGGCAGGAAGATCGCTGTAACTGGCGAGGGAGCTGCAGGTTTCTGCTCCACCTGAAGAGGCTGCTGAACCTGAAAAGTGATTCCCTCTTCTTCATCCTCCTCTAAATCTGAGATGTGATAGACGACCTCTGTGGGCATTTGGGTGAAGCCTTTGGTAATGACGCCTGGCCGTGGGTCAAGGATGGTTCCCAGGTTTGGTTGAGCAAGCTGCTGCCAATGATGTAGAGTCTGTGACCCTGCAGGCAACAGGAGAGGCATGCATTACACTTCCCCCAAATCCTCAACCTGGAAGAAGCTAGAATCAGTGAGTAATAACAATAATGATAAAGACAGTGGTACTGACTGGCTTTGATACATTTAAGTTCTCTATAGAAAGCTGACATGATGTTGAATGTCTGAGCAATAGCTTTTCTATTTCAAAAGACAATCTTCAAAGGGATATCCAAAGAAGAGAAAAAAAAAACCAACTAAGGCATTTTTAACAGGACCTAGGCTGCACTTTCCAGGTGTCGAAACCAGTGCTCACCTGGCGTAGTCTATGAACTTGGAAGTAAACACTGGGCACTTAGGTTGGAAAGTAACTTGAATTTCTTTGTGTACTTTTCTACTTGTTCATGACACTGTTTTCCTGGACTCACAGAGGAACAGGAAAATGTAGGTGATAGAATGGAGAACACATCCCTTTGGTTCCAGCCTATGGGATGCTGGTGAATGGTCATCCCATTCCCTTGTACCTGATGTAACATCTAATTGTGTCACTATGATAATTTCACCCAAAAACTGGCAACTCTAACTGAAACTTGTATCTAACTAGGAGTCCTTATAGGCTACCTACTCAAACTTTTAATAAAAAGTTTTTAGCACAGTATCAGAGAGTCACTTATGAACCATCCCATAAATCAGATATTTATTTTGAACTTAACTCATATTTTTGGATAAAACTGAACTGAAGGAGAAAAAAGTACAGGTATACATGTGTGCCTCTATGTCAATGACGCTTGTTGGGTCAAGTTCTCTGTAGGTGGAGAAGGACCATTTTCATTTCTTACACCCTGTTGGTTTTACCATGGCAACCACTATCAATGATATTCCATAACAACAGTTAGGAAAAGACTCTTTCCACGTCCCTCTTCCACTGACACCAAAACATCAGAAAAGAATGAATGGCTGAAGACTTAGTGACACAGGTCTCATTGCTCACCGACTGTCCAGTACATAGCGTCACCCCCCACACACACACACACAGCAGGTTTAAGAGTGACAGATAGCTCGTGCACACGGTGCTCTCATCAATGCTGCACAGATTTCAATTCTAGGAGAGACGCCTTACATACACACAGAATCCAAAAGCTGTTACTGACTTATTACCTTCTAGGGGCTTGACAATCTGTAATTTTTCAGGCATGAAGCCTCGAAGGCAGCTGGCACTGCCAAGGTCCGTGGTCTCCGATTGGTCAGTGCAGAATGAGTCCAGGTTCCCTGAGGGGGTGTCACAGCTACTAACTCCTTCCTTCTCAGCCAGAACCTGGATCTTGCGTTCCCATTCTTCAGCAAAGAACTGTTTCTCACTTAAGTAATTCTGTCTTCGCAGGCTAAGGCGATGCAATGCCGTAGCCAAATCACTATCTTCAGTGGGTCCTTGTTGGCTTGTGGGCTGAGAGTTCCTGTGGGGAAATCATATTTGCTGATGAGATTGTAGGTTATGTGCACAATCTAGACCTGTTCTTTCTACAGTGCTGGACATTCAAAAGACTGCCCTTAGGAATGAGGTGTTTTCTAAGTTATTTGAAATATGGAAAACAACCGCAATCAAAACCACCAATAATACTACATATCACTGTAATTCATCATTTCCAATTACTTCTAGAGAATCAAAAGTATATTGTGTTTGCTAACTTTTACATTTCATTTAATTATGAAACTGCAGGTATATCTACCTTTATGTTCAGGTCAGATAATCCCAAAGCAAGTATTACTACAGTTCACTGAGTGCAAGAGTTATAACTGTGCATGAAGAGAAGTGTTAGCCATAAACTATTATATGCTATTAACCACAAAATGTAATTACTTTAAAAATGTGAGTAGGGTGTAGTGGGACTCAAGAGACTGAGGTAGGAGAATCATGATTTGGATGGCAGTCTGGGCTGCACAGAAAGTACAGAGAAGTCTGGCTACACAGGAAAACACCCTACACAAAAATAAAGAAAACAACGACCAAAAAGAAAAAAAAAAAAAGAAAGAAAGAAAGAAAGAAAGAAAAGAGTAACTATGCTGAAAATGGTGTGAAGAGATTTATTCTGGGCCACAAACATCCTCCAAATATGCAGAATATTTAAAAGACAACAAGGATTGTAAATTACAAAAGCTTGCATCACCATAGGGCTCCGATGCACGTTTTTTTGTTCTTCAGCATTGTGAAATTGGGAGGTAGTTTAGAATTGATGCAGAAGGGACAGTCCTCTCAGCCACTGCAAGTGAACTGAGTACACAAGGGACACAGACCCACACCAGGACCCATGCCTTACCCTGGAACCTCGGTGCTGCTCCTATGGTTCAGGAGTGTGTTGTCCTCTGTTTGCTGGACACCAGACTCAAAGGGTTTTGCTGTCATGATGACACTTGAACGGTTGGAACCTGGGATGGGTAGCAGGGCTGGGAAGGTAACAGAGCGGCCTCGAGTATCATTGGCAACCTTGACAGTATCAAACACCCGTTTCTGCTGGGCCCTGTCAAAAAGAGAAACATTTGGTCCTGTTACTAGCACCCACTAGAGGGCACCCCTGAGACCTGACCATGTACAGACAGAACCAGAAATGAAGCTGTTCTGCACACTCTCAAGTGAGGGAGAAAGGAGAAAATCAGCTTTGGTACAGGAGAGCTCCCGCATGAGAAGACTGTCTTCACAGTACAAAGTCACTCCCCACCAGCATTCATCACTGTGTGTGTGTTTCTTCCCTCAGTGCCCAGGGGTCAAACCCAGGACCTGGCTCTGCCTCCCGAGCCTCCATCACTACTGCATTCCCTGGACTGCGGCTTTAGAATTTCTACTCCAAACACAATAACAGCCTTTGTGAACTGTACTTACTTTTGTTTAAATACAGATTCCTCATCCAAGCTCAGCTTTTTACGCATGGTCCCTTCAATCTCAGCTGCCAACGATTCCTAAGAAATGGAGTTCAAGATTTGTAAAGTGATTACTACCCTCACATGACTGTAAAGTCTGTACAAGCATGCATTTTTTATGTTATAAGAAAAGGAAATACAAGAAAATGCCGACTAAAATTCAAAGGAGGAAGAGAGACTGTGGAAACAGAAACTCTTAAGGAAGACTCAGCTCTCCTTTTGGGAAGCATTTTTCCCAGGTAGCAATGAACAAGCAAGCGAGTGGACGTCCTTCACTTTCCTCTGCTCGGATGTGCATGTGTTGTGAGCAGCTGATTTAGATCCCTGCTGTCTGGACTTTCAACAACAGACTTAACAAACCTAGAGTCGGGAGGAAAAATAAACGCTTTCTCCCCCAAGCTGCTTTTCGTCAGAGAAATGTATCACAGCAACAAAAAACGAAACCAGAGCAGTAGTCATCACAGACATAACCAAAGAACCCTGGATGGGGTTAAAACCAATGGCTAAAGGTTTGATGAAGATATTTACCCTTGACCACGTAGTTAATGCAGTATCTACTAGCTTTCATTTATGTACAGTAAACTAGTAGTGCTAATTTAATTAGTTCATTATTAATATTAACTTTCAAGTGTAAAAAACTGGCAGATAACACTAACCAAAAATTTATAGTTAATTAACATTAACCTTAAATAACACATAGCATTATTTCACACTGAAATAACCACATATAAATGTACCGTGTTTTCCTTACTCTCTCTCTGTGTGTGTGTGTGTGTGTGTATGTGAGTGTGTGTATGTGTGTATGTGTGAGTGAGTGTGTGTGTGTGTGTGTGTGTGTGTGTGTGTGTGTGTGTCTGAAGGTCAGAAAACAACTCTGTAGATTTGGTTTCCTCTTTAACTTTTATGTGGATTCTGGGGATCAAGCCTCCAGTTTTGAGTGGCAAAGGCCTTTTATCCACTGAACCATCTTGCCAGCCCCTAAACATATCCTTCAAAGGACATTTTTGGAGCTGGGGGCAGGGGAGTGTTCTGCACAGGTAATCTCAAGTAGTAAGGCTGAGGCAGAGGATCACTTGAGCCTAGGAGGTTGAAGCTAGCACACACACTCACATGCATGCGCACACACACATGTAAAAACACCCAAGTCAGTCTGGCTAGCCTGTGCTACATAACAAGTCGGAGGCTGGCCTGTGCTCAGAGTTGCACATGGTTTCTGTAAGAAACAGGTATTAAAACAGCTCTTTGAAGCAATGTGACAAGTTCTGGCACAAGCTCAATTTTTAATTGTGTTCTACCATTCCCCAAATACTGTTTCTTAATGAATTAAAAAGTCAAGGTTCCTATCTATGGAGACTTACACTTTATCGATAGAGGCTTAGATGCTTAAAGCATGCCACAGGGCAGACAAGATCCCCGAAACTCACATGGCAGAGAGAGGACCAACTCTAGGAAGCTGTCTTAGAGTGTCTACTGCTGTGACAAATCACTGTGACAAAAAGCAACCTCGGGAGGCAAGGGCCACCTCACCTTTGGGATTATGACTCTAGCACCCAGGGAAGTCAGGTCTGGAACTCAAGGCAGGAAGCAGGAGCTTCCGCCTGCTTTCTTCAGGGTCACTGGCCAGGGTAGCACCACCATAGTGGCTGGGCCCTCTTCTACCAATCACCAATTAAGACAATATGCCACGGGCTTGCCCACAGGCCTATCTTATGGAGGCATTTTCCCAGTTGAGAGCACCTCTTCCCAAATTACCCTAGCCTATGTCAAGTCAACAAATACTAGCCAGCACAAAAATTGTCTTCTGGTCTCCATATGTGCACATGACACACAAACAGGCACATGCAAATGGACATACACTAAAGGGGGAGGGGAGATGGGGGAGGGGGAGTATGTGGCCAGGGACATGGCTCTATGGGCAAAGGCTTGCTTCCAAGTCTGATGACCTGAGTTTATTAATGCCTGGGTCCCACATCCTGGGGGCAAGAAAAAAAAATTAACTTCCACAAATTGCTCTGACCTTCACAACTATGCTACAGATCATGTACTTCAAACACACACAAAGCAAACAGACACAGATTGAAAAGTACAGCTTAGGTAAGTGATAGGTGGTGGTTCTGAGGTAGGATAACCTCGTTTGCAGGTATGCAGGTCCAACCCAGTTTCCTTAAGTTTACCTCAAACACTGCAGCAAGTTTAGAATATCATCTGTGAAAATAAATGAGAGTGATGAGGAAGAGGTGGATACGCAAATTAAACTTGACTCAGTAACTGTGTCCCAGAAACAAGAGCAAAGCATGCCCTCTGTTTTCTGGATACTGCACGGCATCATAAGCCACAGCACACTCTGGAAATGGAATGCAAGCTCCTCTGTGCTCTCCTTAAGCACACAGCAGCGTTCTTGTCTCTTACCCCTGTGAAAGCTCCGTAAGACTGGGAGAAGCAGAGGTGAGCAGCAGGGCCACATTTGCTACGAAGCTCTTTTATTTCTTCTTGGGACTCATGTAACATTCCCAGGCACTCCATGTTTCTGTCTTGTAAGTCATGAAGCTGAAGGAGAAAAGCAGCACACTTATAATCTCCCCGGACAACTCTTGTTAACCGTGAACCCCTGGGATAAGGAGTTGCGGGGGGGTTATTAATTGTATCCGGGGCCCAGCGGAGTGTGTACATTTAAACATCTCTAACAGCCATGAGTAATTCACATTAAGCTGCCAGGATCTGAGATGTCTTGGGCAAGTGCAGAAAAAAACGTGACTGCTCAAATCTGAAATGTCTCGGATACAACCTAAACTGTCAATTCAGTACCTGGTGGCTTGTGCCCAAACACCCATGGAGGAAATATAAAAGTGTTATCCCATTAGGGTTAGCACAATAGTACATTTTCTCTGAAGTCTTTCAGGGACAAGATCAAGAGTCTAGAAAGCGACTCATTTAATGTCAGGGTGTCCCATCACCTAAACAAGCCCCCTCAACCGTTTTGAAAACCTTTTAGTGTTTGGCAAAAGTATAAATTTCAGAGTGTATTTTAACTGAAAAATCTCTTCACAGGTAGCATGAGTCCAGCCGCTCAGGGTGAGAGGGGTTGGGGATGCTCGTCTAAAATGCACACTACCCTGACTCTCACTTTGAGAGACTTGGCAGAGGCCTCCCTCTCTGTTCCTTTTCCATGTGCTGCAAAGCCATCCTGAATGAGGAAACATATGGGATGTGTGTGCACATACACTGCTGCACTTGTAAACACCGGAAGCGCCAAGCAGGAGGGGTGGAGGGCACGTAGCCTGGGCAAACGCTGGTAACATACCTCACCACACCATCAATGTCTACAAACATCATCAAGGTGATTTTGGAAAGCTGGTGTGAGACAGCCCAACTGTCAGCCTTGATAAACTGTGGCCACTTTCTGTGCGCAGACACAGTAAATGCTTCCCAAAGCAAATCTGGACTGCTCTCATCATCAGTGTGGTGTGACCGGGCTACTACAAAGCTTGGGGTGGGGTGGGAGCCTGTCTTGGTGAACGTCATATGCTCCAGCAGAAGGGCTGAGGAGATTCGGGTGTTAGGGGCCCACACTGTCCACACAGGGAGGTTCATTAAATGCTAACAAATGTTAAAATGCACAGCTGAGGTGGTGGAGGTACACTCAGCACTGGGGAGGTCAAGGTAGGAGGATCTCAAGTCTGAGGGTAGCCTGTGATGCACAGAGAGTTCCGTGAAAGCCTTAAGCTACACAGAAAACTCTGTCACAAAGTTAAAAAGATAAATGCATTGAAATAGGAATGCCCATGTGGCTTTCATGTGATCAACCGAGCAGAAACTCAGGGTGGTACCTAGGATCTATTTAAAACTTGCTGTTCCCAGTGAGTCTTATGAATGCTGAACTGCCCCAAAGTTAAATCTAGTATCTAAGTATATAGAATAACCATAAGGGGTTTTTGCTATTTTGCTTACATATGTAAAAACACTTTCTATACAGAATCACCTTACGAGGCTGGTTAACATATGCTGATAAGAGGTCTATATTGAATGGAAGATCAAGATATAAACAGTTACAGCCACTTCATTTTTGACAGATGCCAAAAACACACATTGAAGAAAAACAAAAAGCAAACACAAAATCCCAGCTTCTTTGACAAAAATGATGCTGGGAAAACTGTACGCACACATAGAAGACCGAAACAGAATCCTCATCTCTCACCTTGCACAAAAATCAACTGCAAAGTGATAAGAAAATGTGAACGTAAGACCTGAGACTCTGAGACTGTTCAGGGGAAAGGTAGAGAAGAGACTTTAAGGTGCAGGCACAGGCAAGGACTTCCCCAGTACTCAGGAAATGAACAGCTGGCACCTCATGCGATCAAGGGGTTCTCACACAGCAACTAAAGCACCTAATCAGTGAAGAGCCAGCCACAGGCTCTGTGACCTAACAGAGAGAGCATCAACGTCTGGAATACACTACTAAGACCTAGACTAGAAACCAAGCCACCCTGAGGCAGTCATAGCAAGGCAAGCAACAAATGCTTGTAAGGAGGTGGACAAAAGTGAACCCTTCTGCAGTGATGGTGGGAACAGAAGCCAGTCCATCCACTATGAAAAGCAGCAGGCCTACTGTGTGACCCTGCTGTCAATCCTGTGCATTTACCCACAGACTGCAAGCCAATACAGCACATATACTTGCTCACCAATGTCTATGCAACAGTACACACAATAGGTAGATATATTATGGAGCCAACTTAAGTGTCTAAAACAAAGGCACGGTTAAGGAACATGTGGGTATACACAATGCAATGCATTTCAGCCATAAGTTAGAATAAGGATATGTTATTTCCATAAAAATGGACACAACTAGAGTCAATCATACTGAATGTGTTATAACAGCCTTAGAAAGATGAATCTATGTTTTCTCTCATTTTTTTAAAAATCCTATGTAGCTCCATAAAATCATGCACATATGAGCCATGAAAGTAGAGGTGAAACTGACTAGAGTGGCAAAGGAGACTAAGAGTGGAGGGAAAACATGAAGGTAGGTGTATGAGTGGCACATGATACATACTTACATGAAAAAAAATCTTTCAAGTCCTATATTTTTAACGAAAGTCAAGGTTTTCTCTATTACTCAAAAGGAAGGCTGTCATGATTAGCTTTAGAAATAAAGCACTTTTTAAGTGCTTTATTTCTTAGATCTCATTAATGTCATCTCAACTGTTCGTTGTTGCTGCTGGAGTCCAAATGTGGCAGTTCTCTTCTGGAATTCTTACAAACATGAATGAAATTCCTATTCCCCTCCTGCACTGTGAAGACAGAGGAAGCCCCATTACCTCCATCGTCAGCTGTCGCTGGGCATCTTTGGAAGCCTGCAGGTGAAGTCTTAGTTCTTCCTTCTCGATGACATGCTAACAACACATAAGAGGGACATGTAAGGCATTCCCACTTCTTCCTTTTGAAGACATACTAAGGGTATCTATCCTGGGTATAGTCTTAGGCCTATGACAGTGAACCCACCAGAAGCCAACTAAGTGATATTGTAAGCAGAACACAAAATACCTGCGTTCAGAGGATATGGACCATGAATTACTCATTGACATCACAACCTTCACAAGAGAATCTGGTATATTTGCAAAAATAAGTAGCACCTTGAAAGTTATTTATGCTAATTTAGCAGAGGAGCAATATTAAAAGAACAGAGTAAACCATTTAAAGGGGAAGGGCCAGCTGTACTCTGCTCAGTGTGCTAGCACTTAGCAGAAGGCAGTGCCCCGGGGCAGGGGTTAGCAGAGTTCCGCTGAGTGAGTGAAAGCACGCACTTCTTTAAGCTTGTGCTGAAGGTCTACAATCTGAGACAGCAGGGAAGAGATTTCCTCTTGGTATCGAATTAGCTCATCGCTCTTCCCCGACAGCTCTTCAGTCATTCTGGACATCTGTGCGTTGGTCTCACCTAGGGGCAAAGCCAAAGTTTAGAAACCAACAGAGAGGTAGAGGTGGAGCCAGTGCGCGGCAGCTTGCAGGTCAGATGCTGGTTTGTGACAAGCACCGGAGTGCCACGAGCACATTCGTGAACATGGCTTAGAGAAGCAAAGGTTTTTTTATGGTAAGCTAATGCCGACATGATGCTAAGGAGAGAGATGACTTACAAAGGCAAACATGCTAAGGAGTTGATTTATGCTTTCTCTTCATGAAAAAGATATGGACTAGTGCATGACCTGGCTTTTTGGAGCCCATTTCCTATGGAGAGATACCTTGCTCAGCCTAGACACAGGCCTCGGTCCTGCCTCAACATGGTGATGGGACAGACTTCGTTGACTCCCCACAGGAGGCTTTACCCTCTGAGGAATGGATGGGAAGTGGGGTGCAGGGGAGGGAGGGGGAACTGGGATGGGTGTGTTTAAAAAAGAAAGAGAGAAAAAGACATTGTGTCACTCCTCAGGAAAGGCTGAAAAGGGAGCTAGGTGAATTATGTGTCTTCGTAAGTGCTAAAGAGGTGATTGCACTAGTGCCATTAAGAATACTTCAGGGACATAAGTAAAATCCCACAAGCAATGAAAACCAATCTTAACAGGTCTAACAAAGGAAACCTTCTGGAATGGAGCCACCCAATCCATGACAGAATGTGACGATGCTACTGCAATGCTTCTGCAGGTTAGGGACAGTCAGGGACACCCACCAAACGGGGTGAGGCCCTAGACTAACCCTTACAGGCCAGAGCACTTGTATACATGAAACAGGACCCTTAGAACTGGGTTTTGGGATTCTGTATCACAGAGCAAATGTGACATCCAGACATAGCAGGAAAGCTACTTCCACTTTTTAAACTGACAAGAGCTTCCTACTGTTAGAAGGTGGCAGCTAAGAATGGAAGGGACAGGAGAACTCTGGGGACAGTCAATTTTCTGTCAAAATGCAGAAGGTGGGTAAGGAGGTGGAGAGTTCCTTCTGGATCTCTACTATTCTGCTGTGTCCCAGTTTGAGATCTATACAAAAATGAACTAATGTGACATTATTGTCTTTTTCAGCATAAAAAAGGCTATATATTTACACAGCAATTCAATACACTCGTTTAGTGAAAACAATTTCTTTTCATGATCTAAAAATTACAATCTCTTTTCATGGTTTAAAAATTACTTTCACCAGGCAGTGGTGGACATGCCTTTAGTCTCAGCACTAGGGAGGTGTGTGTGTGTGGGGGGGGGCGGTGAAGGGGCCAGAGGCAGACAGATCAGTGTGAGTTCGAGGCCAGCCTGGTCTACAGAGTGAATTCCAGGACAGTCAGGGCCACACAGAGAAACCCTATCTTGAAAAACCAAAACCAAAATCAAAACCAAACAAAATTTCTTTTAGTTCACATTCCTTGAATCAAAAATATACCCCTTAACCATAGCTGGCACTTTGTGAACACTCAGGCTGTGTGCCAGCCAGCCTTTCAACCCTGGCTCTGCCCTTATTGCCTTCTGACTATAGCATAATGTATTCCTGCAAACAAAACGAGAGCTTCGGTTCTCTTTTTTTCCGAAGAAGTACAACTTATTTATAGAAAGTTAGTAATGGTGGCAGCCTGCACAGAGGAAGGTCTTAAACACACGTGTCTTAACTAGGTTGTGGACACAGTGATATTCTGATTTTCAGTAACTGTTATGGTTTGATCTCTGGCAGAGTGTGGTGTCCAGTGTGGTGGGGGATGGGAAGCTTGACAGGCAGAGCTCAGCAGGAAGAGTTTGGGTCATTGTGCACTGTCTGCAGAGAGGCTCAATGCTGGCCTCTCTGAAGGGCTGGTTCCCCAAACTGCCACTTCTCTCTCCTCCATGTTTAAACATTAGGAGACCTCACCAGGATGCAGCTGTTTGGACCCTCAGATAAGTAACCTTCATAAGTAACCCAGCTGCAGATATTTTGTTATAGTGCCACAGGACAGTAGCCACTTTAAGCTGTTTCTATGGAAACCAGTGGTGGAGATAGCTCACCAAACTGCCCCAAAGCAGGACGAATATGTTACTACTTACGAAGTTCTTTAACACAGTCATTGACCAGCTGTTGTTCCTTCTCTTCATAAGTAAATGTTTCTGTCTTGATATGACAAGCCTTCGAGAGGGGAGAAAACAACAATCACTGATACGACAATATGTCCCAATGAACTTGAAGCACAAGCTACAAAAACCTTTGCCATTTGAAGATTAAAATTCATTCCTTATAAAGAAAACAAAGCTATCCCATCAGGTTTAAACTCATAAAATAAAGGAATAGGAAAGGTACATCTCCCTTCACTCCTCACAGGGTCTCTACGGATGCCTCTCATCTCTGTTTGATGCATCTCTAGCTTCAGCAAAAATGTCACTTATACACAGGATGTGTTTGCTTCATGCCACTTTACAAACCAAAGAAACTGTAATGCTCTGACACAATCCTCCTCAGCTAGTTTCTGTTAACTATGCAAGATGTACACAATACACTGCTGCTACTTTATCTGTCCACCTGCTCCCACCCATTTCTCAGCAAGCCCTAGGTGACAACGGAAGGCACAGCAGTAACTGGAATGCTAAGATGCATTTTGCTTCACTATTACCCAGACTGACTGACTGCTGTTAAAGTAAAGGAAAGTGAGATGCACCTTGGATCGAAGGGCCATGTTCTCTTCTTCCAGTTCCCTGAGCTTTTCATGCAGCATGTCCAGTTGTAGCAAACCTTGAGATAAGCTGAAGGACTCATTGAACCGAAGAGGTGTGGAACAGCTGGAATCAGCTTCACTCTCCTCAGAAGCGATGGAAACAATTCGAAGCAGTTCGTCTTTCTTGGATAGCTCATGCTGCAGCTGATTAACCTGGACACAAAGTGTGATTAGAATATTCTACGCTGTGTACATGCAATATAGCTTCTAATTCATGGAATGAATGCTTTTCACCATAAAAGTCCCCTACCATATTAGATCCTAGACCAGTGTACAAAGAGAGTAATAAACGCTGAATACTTCCTAAGCTACCTATTTAGGTTCTGAACTCAACAAATGCAGCCTTTTCTAGAGCACATGTGAAAAAAGCCAGTTTTTATATTTGATATAAATGCATCCCCACGGCCTGTACCTTTGGTCAATTAACTGGGGAGAATGGCGAGCCTTACACAAGCCAGACTTTATTTTGTATTTTAACTTCTGAGATACTGTGTCTTGATAACTCTCTCAGGCTGGCCTTGAACTTGCAGGCTCCTGTCTCAGCCTCCAGAATAGCGATGACTTAAAGCCTGGGCCATCAAGCTAGGTGACGACTTGTGCTTTTAAGCTGTCTCTAGCTATGCTAATCTTCCCATTGTGAATGTCCCTATTTCTAGGAAATAAATATTTGCAACATGAAGGGTCAAATGTGTTCATAAAGTATAAACAAAACCAGATAAAAAAACAAATTATTGCTGGGCCGGGCATGGTAGTATATGCCTTTAATACCAGCCCTGAGGAGGTAGAGGCAGGTGAATATCTGTCTGTAAGTTCAAGGCCAGCCTAATCCACACAGCAAGTTCCAGACCAGCTCGAGCTATATGGTAAGATTTTGTCTCAAAAGAAAAAAAAAAAAAAAACCTTGAAATTTAACTATTCAACATGACAATAAATTAATTTACATATTTTCTTACCTTTGGTTTTGGTTTCTGAGTAAGAAGCATTTGGGTATTTTGACACCATAGATTGTCAAATTAAAAGCCCACTTCCTCTTTTGGAGCTGTTGTCAGTGGGGTCTCACAGACCCTCAAATATTATGGTCCTGCTCTTGCCTCCCTCTGCAGAACCTGATGGTAAGACCCTACTGCTGAAGATACTGTAAACTTGAGCCACTTAACATGAAGAAATCAAACTGGTACTCACCTGGAAGTTTCATCCCTATTGGCTAGTTTTCACAGTGCTGTCAGCTGCTAGGACACACTACCAGGGCACAAAAGTAGTCATCCTTTTACATAGCCGGGGCCTGCCACCGACAGCAACAGCTGGCCTGGTGAGACAGGCCCGCTGGTGCAATAGCGGCACACACACACACACACACACACACACACACACACACACACACACACGTGTCACGGAGTGACCAGCTTCTTTCTGATAGACAGCATTGATTCAGGGTCAGGAACCCACAGTTCAGGAGAACCAGCTAACATTATTCTGATAACCAGACACGGCACTAAACTAACTTCTAATGACCCAGCAGTATACTTGCACCAGAAAAGTTTCATTTTGCAGTATATGGAAATATATAAAGTCGATAGGTGCTGGTGTCATTTACCTATTGTCAATACTTTAGGAACATGCAAGGAAATGCACTTATCCACTAAACAAGACCTTACTATTCCCATTCCCTCCCAAACCCGAGGTCAAAGGCTTACTTGATCAAATGCTTGTCCCAACTGCTCCTCCAAGGCCTCATTCTGCTCAGATAAGACATGATTCCGCTTTAGCAGAGCTTGCCCAATGCGAGCAGCTAGCTCTAGATCTCGATCCCTCTGTAAAGCAACAAATACACCAGATTAAAACAAGAAAAAAGCAGATAGCAGATTAGAAATCTGGCAGTAAATTTTGCTAATGTTAAGAGCAAATCTCCTATAAAGCAGATTCATTTTACAACCCTAATAAATAAACAGACATGGGGCCAGGCACACAGGTAGTGTTTGGTAAATCTTAGTCAAGTGGGAGATTATGTAGTTATGAATGCAAACTTCTTGAAACCAAGTAAGATTTTATTGACATCCTATTCATTATGGCCTATCAATCCAACATTGTAATTAAAACCTTAAAAAGCTAGAAAGTCAACATAAGTTTTAGATATGAGGGTGGGGGCTGTGGATGTAGTTCAGCAGGAAGAGTGAGATCAAATCCAGTGTACCCCCAACACACAAAATAAAAAATTAAAAAGGACAGAGCCCATACAGTAAACACCTAGCCAATATTTGTTGAGTATATCAAGTACAGCAATGACACAGATTAGGGATTTAGAATATGGATCAGGTAAGTATACTGGAACAGTTCCATTTAGAGTAGACTGTATGCATTCAGGATCAGTAGCTTAGAGCAAGGCAAGGCCTAGAGCCCAGTTACAAATTGTGCAAGAAGGACAGAATTGGAGACTGGAAATTGCGAGATCACAGGATTCTACCTCGAGTGCAGAGAAGGAAGTCTAAGAAGCTGGTAGTAGTAAGGAGTGTGGGAAAACCAAGCAACAGGCATTCTTTCTGGCAGATGGTGACATTGAGCAAGGGCATGGAGCTCCCATCCTGGTGATGATGAGGCTCTTATTTGTAGAATGAAAAACTGTTATTATACTTTTAATTGCCTTCTATGTGAATATGGACTCTATTTACATTGATCATTAGATGAATAAAACTAAGCTTCTAACTTTTCTTTATCCAATATATGAATATCTGTCATTTCAGGTTAACTTATCTCACCTTAATATAAGCCAAGTGGCATATATAGAAAGCATTCTGAGGATAGACATGAATGTCAGAGAGGAAGACTTTCACAAGATCAACTGAAACTGAGCTATGGGAGAGACTATTACTTATTACTGCATGCCAATTGGAAAAGATACACATGCATATTAAAACTTCCACATGGGGCTGGAGAAACGCTCAGTGGTTAGGAGCACTGGCCGTTCTGTTTGATTCTCAGCACCCTTGTGGTGGCTAACAATCATCTGTACTTGCAGTTCCAGAGGATCTGATGCCCTCTTATGATCTCTGCTGGTATTGTATATGCGCGCGCACGCGCGCGCGCACACACACACACACACACACACACTCTCTCAGGCAAAAATTCCATACACATTAAACAAACAAACCAACCCTTAAAATTTGTATAGGTGAATGTAAGCTCAAATAATGGGCTGGGCTGGAAGTACAAAGGAGCTGCTCCAAACTGCGGGTGCTGACTGAAAGACCACTGCCTTTTAATGGTAGTTTGGCCTAGGTGATTAATGGCAGGGACTTTTGGGGGCTGGAAATATGGTTCAGTGATTAAGGGTTTGCACTGCCTTCACAGAGGGTCCAAATCCCAGCTCTAAGCACTCACATTAGGCAGCTCACACCTCTTACAATTTACTTTCTCCTAAGACAGGAAGGCCAGACAGCATTATAACCACCCATCTACCCACAGGAAAATAACTAGCTTCTGGGGCCATTCTACTTTGGGATGTCACCTGTGTGTCACCTGCTCAGCTGTCCCCATCTTACTGACACCAGCCTGGAAAACGGGTTGGTCATCATGCTTTATCTGTGCAAATGGGATACATTCTAAATGATCCTCAAGTTTCAGGTTTTTATAATGCAGAAAGAACGATATATTCATACCTCTGCCAGGAGATGTGTAACCATGTCGATGTCATTGTAGGTTTTGGTCATCTGTTCCACTCTGTCTGTGCCTAGGACTAGGAGTTAAAAACAACTCTTTAGAGGCTTTAGGCACATCAGAAAACTTAAAATTCTCACAACAATCCTAAGTATCAACAAAATGCCCAAGTTTTACAGAAGTCATTCAGGAGAATAAATATATAAACTGTTCATATATATATAATACCCAAGATACATCAGCCATTACAAAAAAGTGCACACACATAATAACTTGAGAAAGTATCAAGTGGTTATGAGCAATCAAATCCCAACTTCTTTTACTCCTAGGGAGATAAGTTTTGGTCCACTCTTACTTTATACTCAAATCAGTTGAAGTTACTGAAGAATAGCTGGGCAGTGGTGGCACATGCCTTTAATCCCAGCAGGCAGAGGCAGAGGCAGAGGCAGAGGCAGAGGCAGAGGCAGAGGCAGAGGCAGAGGCAGAGGCAGAGGCAGAGGCAGAGGCAGAGGCAGAGGCAGAGGCAGAGGCAGAGGCAGAGGCAGAGGCAGAGGCAGAGGCAGGTGGATCTGAGTTTGAGGCCAGCCTGGTCTATAGAATGAGTTCCAGGACAGTCAGGGCTACACAAAGAAACCCTGTCTCAAAAAAACCAAACCAAATCAAACCAAAAGTTATTGAAGAGTTATGCTGCTAGCACAGAATTGAATTACAGAGTCCTCATAAATTTAAAACTCATAAAATAAAGAGAAATGATAATATATTTCCAGAAAAAAATGAACAAGAGCAACATTAATGGATCAGTAAGGTGTATACACATGTATATATGTGTATATAAATGTAACAATAATTACAGATTAAGAGGTCATGAGCTTGAGGGCAAACAGGAGTTGGAGGAGGTCAGAAAGAGGGGGGAATAGTGTAGAGCAGTACTTGTGTGAAATTCTAAAATATTTTATTTTAATAAAAAAGACAATCTTGAGAGCCTTCATTTAACTTACTTCAGCTATTTAATATTAAGGGCAGAAATATATCTTTATTTGGCGTTCCTGATATTTCAATTCAAGTTTAATATTTACACCCCCCCAATAACACCCCCCACGCCCCCTGTGTGTGCCTGTGCCTGTGTGCGTGCGCGTGTGCACGCGCACACACACACACACACACACACACACACACACACACAGTTTAAGAAACAGAAACTGCCTGGTTCTAGGAAACTACCATCCAGAGCAGGTTAATAATTATTATGAAACGAGCATTCAAAGCAATCATTCTCTAACAGTCTGTCATTACAAGACATGAAGCACGAAGGCTTAGCTGGTTAAGGCACCGGTTGCCAACTCTGATGAGTTGAGATTGAACCCTGGAACCCTCTTAGCGAAAGGACAGAACTGATTCCCACAAGTTATTCTCTGACTTCCATACATATATTATGGTACAAGTGTCCCTTCCCTACTGTATATAAATAAATGTAATACTACTACTAATAATAATATAACAGCTAAAGGGATCACTGGGAAAATGTGTAAGATTCAATGTTCTCTTCTAGGTAAGTCAAATGATAGGAATTTCACAGACATACTAATGCTGAGCTCGGAGACCTTTATTACATAATCTAATAGCTACTATGAGTATGACATTTTTATACTGAATGACACAATTAAAAAAATACAAAAAGAAAAACCAAACTAAAATAAAACGGAGATAAGTCTCTGTACTTGGGACAAGTCTGGGCAGCCCTTCATTCTCTACAGATCACTGAGTAATGATGGAGAGCCTATGTGGTGACACGTGCCTCTCCCTGGCATGGTGGAAAGTGCTGAGAAGCAGGCCCGGAAACCCTGGTACTTGGGGGGGGGGGGGGAAGGCATCACCATCAGGAGTTCACATCAGCTACACTGTAATACTCAAGGCGGCCCAGGCTAAAGAACAGCTCATCTTTAAAAACTAAAATACAACATACTTTTGTGTCTAAGAACCATGCTCTTTAAGGAATGACATAATTCCTATGACTGTGTTTAAAAAGGAAAGATAGAAACCCAAAAAGCTCACACATATGAAACCAAAGTATTGGAACAATAGAAATTGGCAGACAAAAATAAAGATATACAATAATAAGTAACTGTACCACTTTTTAAGCAATTCTATTCTCTCCTCACCCTAGGAAAATATCAAGCAAAAGACAAAGGAAGTGTAAGCTGCGTGCAAAACTTTCTAGTCAGTCATAAGCGTGGCAACAGTTCTTTCAGACACAATGGCTGCAATCATCTCCCTGTTAGGTCAGGCAGAGTTAAAGCAGGTAAACACTGAGCAAAGGAACAACAACGCACTCATGTAGCGGAAGGTCTCTTCAGCAAGGACAGGAGAGAGGGTCTCAGGCGCATCTTGGGGCTGGTGTGAAGACTGTGTCCAGTCCTGGTTTTCATAGAGAAAGAGAGAGTCGACTCTCAGCTTGTACTGTGGCAGCTGCTCTTCCAGCAGATTCACCAGCTCCACTTCAGGGAGATCCTCGGTGGAGCAGACATCTAAGAAGAGAGTTCCCGTAAGTGAATCTAGTATGTTCCATTTATCCAGCTGCAGTGTGACATTAGTCTTCTGAAAGTAGGAGATCGAAGAAATGTTAGCTAAGATCATTTCTCCCATGTCTTTTGTTAATGCATCCTAGAGACACTGAGGAGGCTGCTCAAGTGCTACCCTCTGTGTCTCTATCTGAGAAGGTGACTGGAGGTACCTGACCTCCATGGTGGTTGTGTGAACAAAGTGATAAACACTTACAACTTGGTATAATGCCTAGCTCAGGTGGAGACCCGATCAAATATTAGCTTTCTCCTTAAAATCAGAGTCTTTTTCTTTGTCTGTGTCATGTTGTGAACGTGCAGGTCAGAGAACAACATGGGGGTGTTGGTCCTCACCTCCTACTTACCCTCTGAGTCAGGGTTTGTTTTCTGCCACAGGCTCTGAGGACTTTCCTGTCTCCACCCCCATCTCATCTTTGAAACATGGCCAATGCTGCCAGTTCCTTATGCATGGGTGTGTGCCAAGGGCTTTATCCACGGAGCCATCGCCCCAGCCTGGAGCTTCTTATTATTGCTTTACTACTGGGTCTTTAGACCTTTGATGGTCAGTGTTAATTGTCAATTGTGCAGAATCTATAACCACCGGGGAGACAGAGCTCTGGAAATGTCCACGGGGACTTATTTTGATTACATGAATCAAGCTGGGAAGACTCACTCAAGTTCTCGCACATTGTCTCTGACATACCATACATACTTCTATCCAGGGCTTAAATTCTCCAGCTGCCCACTGTCCTGTTTTTCAGCTTTAATATTAGAGGGTACATGGGCTTTGGCATCAAATCTAGTGTCCAAATCTGGCTCCTCCAGATCCCATTAATGTTGGGATATTAGACACAAAACGCATCTCTCCTGAGCCCCATCCCCACATATTTGCAAAATGAAAAGAATCATCTATCCCATCCCATGTCATACTTGGCACACAGTATGTACCCACTGAATACTGCTGATGTCACTAGTCCTATCTCTCACAGGCTGGCTTGGAACATAGTTGGTATTTTCTTATACATCTGTTCCTGGCTTCCTGTTTATCATATTAATAGCATTTAACACCCTCCATAGTATTTACAAAAAAAGAGTTATTTCTTTTAACACAATTCAAATACTGGGCTTAAAATAAAGAAGTACAGCAAGATGACATATCTACCCTCTCATTTTTAGGAAATCTGGTATTTCCTTTGTGGGTAACATAAAGAAACATGCTTGAACTCTGACAAAAGACAACAGTTTAAGAAAACAAACTCTGAAAGAGCACATTTCTATTGGTTGGCCTGAACTTACCAAGGACAATTTAGTAAGTTCAGTACAAAGGCTGGTACTATTACACATCTCATTCAGCCAGAAGATAAGCAATGGCTTTATAACCACAAGAAGAGATGTGGTCCATTTATTTAAGCCTTCATCATAGCTCCAAGAACCCTCAAGCCTTGGCAGAGCCATTAAATAGAGCCCTGAAAATGACCACATTTTATTATACAGACACCAAGTGATTACGCACATTTGCCTGCTGCACATACATTACAGGTTGTTATCTAACGCTTCTGAAAGAGAGACGGACTACAAATAAATGCAAACAAAGTATCCAGGATGTGAAGGAAATGAAGAGCACAAGCAATGCCCATCATCTCACCCTGCAGCGACTCCCACACCCTCATGTCTTCCCAGTCACACCGACTCCATCACTGACTCCATCTGGGTTCAGGGGTTCTTTTCGGTTTTCTTAAATATGACTTAGAACTGGGCTGCCATTAACACACTCAAATCACCCTTCACACTTCCATCATATGACTTTCCTACTTAAGGGTAAAAGGGGTGTGAATTTCATCTCTCAGAACAACACACACACACACACACACACACACACACACACACACACCTACCTACACCTCTACCTCACTGATTACCTGAGCAATTAAATTAATTATAAGGTAGAGAATACTGAAGTGGTGATCCATCTAACAAAGATGAATCAGCCCCAAAATAAGACCCTTATCACCAAATTATTTATCAAAACAAAACTGAACTCTCTAAGGAAAAACCACTTATCTAGAATATAGCAGGGACACATAATTCTACATTTAAAAATTCAGTCATAAGTGGGCAGTGATTGTCCATGCCTTTAACCCCAGCACTTGGGAGGCAGAGGTAAGTGGATCTCTGTGAGTTCGAGGCCAGCCTGGTCTACAGAGTGAGTTCCAGGACAGCCAGGGCTGTTATACAGAGAAACCCTACCTCAAAAAACCAACAATAACAATAAACCCCAAACAAATCTCAAAAAGAGCACCTCACCACAAGGACAAAATCAATTCATCTGAATTCTAGCACAAGCAGATTCCATCTACACAGCAGTGCAAGGGAGGCTGAGGGTTGCCTGGAGCTGGGAGTGAGGGGTGGAGATCCGGATGCAGGTGAACTCGCATGGTATGCTCGAACGAAGTCCTAGACCTTGACTGCACCAGTTACACATTTGAAAACTCAAGCAGTACATTAAAACAGGGACAGTTTTCTATACCTTAATGAACATATTATGATAATAAAGCTGAATCGAAGAAACAGCCTCAGATTTATGGGGGTTTCAGAATTCAGAAGTTTGTAGACTTGTTTTTTTTGTAACGTCCCTAACTGGTTCTGTAGAAATGCATTTGATATATTAATATATCTTTAGCAAATGTAAATCTAACTAAATGAGACAGTTCAGAAAAGGCTATACAAGTCAAGCTTTGGGAGCACACAACTGTTATTAATATGATGATGACATTGATGTATATATGGTGCATATGAGTGCAGGCACATGTGTGGAGATCAGAGGACAACCTTCAGGAATTGGGTTTTACCTTCTGCCCTGGCTGAGGTAAGGTCTCTCTCATTTTGGCTGTGCTGGCCTGTGTGCCCTGGGCAACTCTGCCTGTGCCTCCCGCTTCCCATAGGAGTGCTAGGATTACAGATGTGCGCTGTTATAGCCAGCTTTTTTTTTTTTTTTTTTTTTTTTTGTTATGTAGGATCTGGGGGTTGAACCTGAGTTGCGAGGCGTGAGCTGCCACTGCATTCCTCACTGAACTACCTCCCCGGCTTCATTTAGTGTTGTGTTTTTTTAAAACAAAAAACGTTAGGAAAAAACTTCCAAGTGTTCTGAGTTTTTTCAAAACATTTATTTATGTACCTATTTTTGTCTGTTTGTGTCTGTGTGGGCATACGAACTGGTGTGTATGTAGATGTGGTCTTCAAGGCAGGTACTCTCCCTGGATTTGGAGCTTGTGTTTTCTAGCTGAGTTAGAAACCAAGCAAGCCTCAGAGGTCCTCTGTCTCAGCTGCTCAGAGCTGGTGCTACAGGCATGTACAGGGCATCCAGCTTGTTATGTAGGTGCTGGGACCCAAACTCTGGTCTTCATGATTGCACACCAAGTCCTCTCCAGCCCCCGAGGTTTTATATTTTTAATTTCTCAAAGCTAAAACCTTGACGGCCTACAACTCTGTCTGTATTCCCTCCAAGTCCCAAGGGCCTCTTGTGTGCCAGGCAGTGTGTTCAGACGCTTGTAGTTACACAAAACACAGGTGCGTTTCTCTGACACAATTCCTGCTCACCCCTGTGAGTATATGAGAGTATGACACAGACAAAGAACTGCACAGAAGGCAGATTTTGATAATGGAATTGGAGATCAAGGGATGGAGGGATTAATTCAGTCTGTCTCTGAGGCCACCGGGCTGGAAGGGGAAGCTGGGGTTTTGTCACTGGGGCAGGTCACACAGGCCAGACTGAGGCATCTGCACTCTGACCTAGAGAAATAACACCTCAGCATTATGAAAGTAAGCTCACCAGTGATGCTCTCCGAGTCTCTGTGATTGCTATTCATGAGGTTTTCTTCACCTGTTGGTGATGTGAAAATGGCATTCTGGGGTTGACTCATGCAGAATCCTTTCCTGCTTTGGTCGAAAGGGGCAGCTTTGGTAGCAATCAGAGTAAAGGAAATCCATTAAGCCATTTAGTAAAGAAATGAACATGGGCATATGTATATTTTCTTCAAGACAGATTTTCCACAATGAGTCACGTGACATCTGCAGCTGTAAGTGTTCTCATGTGATTATCATCCCGTGTACAGTCATGGCCTAAAACAAAGAACAGACCAAGTGGTTAGAATTCAGGATGCTCTTTAAAAACAGGACTCTAATTACCTGTCATGCCTGTCATTTAGAATGTTTTTCTATGATATACACAACAACATGAGCAACTCTCAAGGGAATTAGGCTGAACAACATAAATAAAAGTCAGCTCATGGTTATGATTACAACAAAACCCACATATTTATGGTGCCAAAAAGCAGATCAATGGCTGGGTTAGGGAAGAACTTACTCATATGCAAGAGAATAGATTAGAGCCACCGTGTTGGCTTCAGAAGGGCAAGGACACATGTAATGCCAAGTGTAATGCAATTATACAGCTGACGTATGCAAGCTGGCACACATTACACTTCAATATAGTTATATATTTTTAAATACAATCAACTCTTTACTATAGTGACCTATTATAGGGTTGAAGTGAAATGCATTATAATAGTACAAGGTCAGGAGGGAAATGGAAGCATACTCCTGTCAGGTTTTTAGACTACATGTAGAATGCTGAAATGCTACTTGAAGGCAAACTGTGACAGTGGAAAACAAATAATGCAATAACTCAAGAATTACAGATAATAAACCAATAAAAGAGATGAAATAGAACAATATAGTTCGACTCTGGCCACTACTGGCATCTGGGTCATTTGTGTGGAACACACTGTATGAACTTTAGCAATACCTGCCCTGTCCTGACTAGGGAACTCCTTTCTAGGCCTTCTCCTAGGTATACCAGGCAAAATGTCTCCAGTCACTGCTAAATGTCCTTGGGGGCAAAAGTGATCCCAGCTGAGAACATACATACATACATACATATATATTTTTTCAGTATCACTCAGAATTAAAAGAAGTAAAAATGTAAGTAAAATATTTTATCTGCTAGACCATCAAATGCTAAGCTTTACTCATTCTTGGACATGGCATGAGAAAGTGACCCTTTAAAGTTCCATTGCTACCAGTGTAAATTACTGTAAGATTTTAGGAAGGCTTTCACAATGTCTACAAAGCTTTTAGATGCACAGACACTGCAGCTCAACAATTCTACCAATAGAATTTATACAAAGGAGATATTTACATAGCATACCAAGACACAGGACCAGAACAACCTACACAGTACTGACTTAAATGTTTTCAAAAGCACACACATCAAGTCCATAATGAGATGTCTTAGTAATAGCAGTATGAAATCACAGTCCAGGCCAGTTGTCTGTTATCACAACACTCAAGAGGCTGAGGCAAAGGACAGAATTTGAGGTCAATCTGGGCTACATAGAGAGCTTCAGGGGAGCCTACCCAACTTAACAAGACCTGGTTTCAAAGCAATCAAAGAGCCAGGTCTAGTGGCACAGGGAAGGCCAGGGGCAGGCAGATCTCTGTGAATTTGAGGACAGCCAGTACTACATAGTGAGACTTTGTCACAAAAAAACAACAAACTAACAAAACAAAATAAACAAAGTTTGCAATGCACTAAATATACTGTCTGCTTAAAACTAAGAACAACAACAAAAACTGGGAACTGTTATCAGTTAGGAAATGTTCAATTTGTCTACACATGGTGGTGCACACCTGTAATCTCAGTACTAAATAGGGAGAGGCAGGGGAACTGTGAATTCAAGGCCACAGTGGGTGTGCTACATGGAGAGTCCCTGTCAGAGGTCGCGGTAGAAGGGAGGGAGTGCTCAGCCTTAACTATAAGCTTTGCTTAAGTAAGACAGGCTACTAAACAGTCTTAGCAATTTGCAGCTTGCATCCTCATGACTACTACTTAGAGGCAACAATACTCAGTTACGTCTGAGAAGAGAGCACAGAAAAGAACAAAGGAGCCTAGGAAATGGTCAATGAGGAAGAAAAGGAACACACTTAAGAACACTAGGGACACAAGTTTCAGAGACAACATGAGCAGCAGAATCAGAGAGGTTAAAGGAGTGTTTAAAAGTTAATAGTGACCTTTGAAAGCCAGTGAAGTTCAACACTTAGACTGCAACCAGGCTGGTGAACAGATTGCATAAGAGAGGGTTTTAGGGAATGCAGACCAGAATTTTCCAATACCCAGACTTTCAGATTTCCACAGATTGGTACACTTTCAAAAACTTCTGTGATCATTGGCAGAGGATTTCTTGACTGTTTCTATTACACCTTTTTTTTTTTTTTTTAGATTTTATTTTTATTTTATGTATGTGTTTGCTTGAATGTGTCTTTGTGCCACATGCATGCCATGCCTGTGGAAGCCAGAAGAGGACATCAGATCCCCTGCAGCTGGTGCTATAGACAGCTGTGAGCCACCATGTAGTTGCTGGGAATTGAACCTGGGACCTCTGGAAGAGCAGCTAGTGCTCTTAACTGCTGAGTCATCTCTTCAGCCCCATTTTATTACTTCATAAAACATTTTATAAAGTAAAAACAGCAGTCCTTTCCCCCAATAAGTTTATAATTTCATGCTGGCATAATAAAAATTCTACCACTGAATCCAGATAATTTTAATAAACACATAAATATTCTTTTACACGCACAACAGTTTTCCTGGAATATGTTTATAATATAGTAACGTGGATTAGCCAGTGCAGCACTAAGCAAAGCTCATGATATTTGTCAGGTACTGTGATTCTCATCATCAAAGGCCATTTTCAAGTTCTAAGGGCACTCTACTGCATACCCTTGCTTTCCCCACAGTATCTTGTTATTCAGAATTGTCTTTTCCAAACCAAGCCCTGCAAAGGGAAGAGAAACATATTTGGATGAAACCAATAAAGATTTGCCTCTGAACCTGAGAGGAAGAAAGCCACCTTCTCTGATGTACACCACATCTAGGTATGGAAACAAAATGTGGATGATGCCCCACCCACAAAAGGGTAGGATTGATGATTTTTAGGTGGATAGCAACTGTCATCTTCCATGATGAGTGTTCATGTCACACATACTTTTTAATCAGTCTTTTTAAAGGTTACAGTAGTAGTCTAAACCCTGAACCTGAAATAGAATAAGCATCTGGGGGCTAGGAAGGTAACTCAGTCTGGGAAGTTCTTGCTGTAGGGTAAAAGGGCCATGTAGGGAAAGAGGGCTAGCCAAAGTGGGTTTCTTTGGCTGGCCTTTTTACCATACACTTGCTATGCAAGCATGAGGGTGAGTCAATCCCCACAGCCCATTACAAAGCCTGGCATGGTAGTACATGCCCATAGCTGGTGCATGCTCCCCAAAGTTGGGGAGACAGAGAGAGCTGGACCCCTGGAGCTTGATGATCAGCTAGCCTAGTCTACAAGGTGAGTTCTAGGCTAGCAAGAAACTGTCTCTAAAAAATAAGATGAAAGGCTCTTGAGGAACCTGCACACCAGTGAATACACATAGACAAAGAATCTAGTGATGTATTTTAAAAGACAGAATGGCAATGTGAATGTTAAGAGTGACCTTGTCATCGGGCAGGTCATCTAGTGCAAGTTCAGCAAACAACTGCCAACATCCATATTTGACCTGCCACCTGTTTTTCACACTGTGTGAGCTAAGAATAGCTTTTACTTTTAAATGGCTGGAAGAAAAAAAATTATACAGAATTTAATTTTCAATGTGTACAAATGAAGTTTTACTGAAACACAGATATGTTCCTGTTTAGATACTGTCCACTGATTGCATCCATATTCCATGACAGCTTAGAAATTGTGGTAATTGTGCCAATAGCTATATATATATATATGAACACACACACACACCACACACAGACTCTTAGACACAATTTGATATTTGACAGAAAAAATTTCCCAACTACTGATTACTAATAAAACAATTTATCAAAATACTATTACGTAAAACTAAGCTTTCCAAGACCAACTTCTGAAAGCTGGGTTCCTACATTTATACACTTGTAATTGGGCTTCTACTCTCTAAATCCCTAAGCATATTTAAGTTACTTTCAATCTCTAAAAATGCCCTTTTTAAAAGCAGTAAGTTACAAATTTGCCTGCAAGGGAAGGGAAGGGGGGGGGTATAGTAAAGAGGAAAGAAAGTGAAAAGTGAGGAGAATTAAAACAAAGCCCAACTGGTCCAAGTTGATTCTTTTTGTTTGTTTGGTTTGGTTTGTTTTGTTTTTCAAGACATTTCTCTGTGTAATAGCCCTGGCTGTTCTGGAACTTGCTTTATAGGCTTTGTAGATCAGGCTGGCCTCGAACTCACATATACTGGCCTGTCTTTGCCTCCTGAGTACTGGGATTAAAGGCGTGCAGCCACCGCCTGGCTTCCAAGTTGATTCTTGATAAAAGACCACCGTGAAATGTGACCGACTGAGACTTTGAGACTGCCTGCCCTATTGCTCTGTAACATGCTGACTCCATTGTCACACCTCCCTCCCTCTTCTCAGTTGTCTGTCTGTCTGTTTTAAGGTGCTAGTTCTGTGTTCCTGGCTTACCCTGACACTACTGTACATGAGATAACCTTGAACTTCTCATCATTTTTGCCTCCATATCCTGGAATTACATGGCTGGAATTATAGGTAAGAGCCACCACGCTAGGATTCTTTCTTCTCTTTAATAACATTTCCATGTGTACCAGTGTTATGCCTGCATTCATGTCTGTGCACGAGGTGCATGCCTGGACCCGAGGAAGTCAAAAGAGGGTGTCAGATCCCTTGGAACTGAAGTTACTGACAGTTGTGAGCCACAGCACTGGGGATTGAACCCAGGGCCTCTGGAAGAGCAGCCGGTGCTCTTGACCTCTGAGCCATCTCTCCAGCCCTCCACTTCTATTTTTTAACTTTGCTTTTTTATATTCATACATCATCACCCAAGAACACAGAAATCTATATACAGGTTTTGACTACGGCTTCTAGACCTTTGCTCTGGAGAATTACCTTTTAAATCAGCTCTGGAGGTTTGATGATGTTCTCAACACTTAAACACAATAACCAAGTCCACAGTAAGAGTCATGTGGAAGGAATGCAGACCTCCAGGGCAATCCAGGAACCTGCCCAGCCTGCACATGGCACAGCAGGCCAGGGGTGACTTAGCAAGGCA